AGCCCGACAATAGCCCTGCAACTACAAGCGTCGCATCCGGCCGCAACTGCATGTCCCTCAACATGGTTGCAACTGGACCTTTGTTTTGTCGGAGAGGGCGGCGGGAGAGGGGGCGGGCCACTTGCATGTTTCAATACTAGGCATGCGACTGCAAGTGTCGCATCCGACCGCAATTGCATGTCTTCTAGCCAGACCGCAACTGGACTTTTTTGTTCTGTCGGAGAGGGCGCCGGTAGAGGGGGTGGGCCAGTTGCAAGCCTGACAACATCCCCGCAACTGCAAGTGTCGCACCTGACCACAACTACATGTCTATCACTATTTCTATTTTTCTACTTTTAATTTTATTTTTGTTTTTGTAGGTTTTTTATCTATTCTAAATAGTGTTTTTTTCAAACATGCCACCCAGTTGCACGTCGCCCCGTGTGCGACCGCATATATTGTAGTCCACATGCAATTTGAAGCGACATTAGCCGGGGTATAATTAGGGTGCGGGCGGGGCGGGGAGCTGAGTGCTTGGGCGGCCCGGTTTACTTTTCTTTACTCATTTCTCTACCATTTGTTTTCCTTTCTATTTTTATTTTTCCGTTTTGATTTGTGTTATTTTCCTTTTCTAAATGGTGGTGTTTTGGACTTCTTTTAGAAAAAATGTTGCCACTCGATTAGCACATGCGAGGTCCGTACACAGTTGCATGTACTCCAGGCATGCACAATTGCACATCCACTGTCCATGTGCAACTTAACATTCTTTTTCTTTTTAAAAAAGTCGTGCCAATGTGGTTATACACATGTCAATAGCATGTCCGTCTACCACGTGCAATTTGCATGCCTGTCATTTCTATTTTTAAGGAACTAGAGAGAAAAAAGACTTGAACAGAAAGAGAGAGAGAGAGAGAGAGAACACAACATCAACACGCGCCGAACAGCTAATCTTACCTCAGCCGATGCACTACAACCTGAAAAACATTAATGATGCATGAACAGTTAATTGACAGAGATAAAAGGCCAGCCCAAATTAGTGAAGCCCATCACAGAAAACAAAACAGCAGACAAAGGACAACCGAGCCAACAAACAAGCCCAACAAGCAAACATCACAAACCAGCGGTCAGAAACTACGATCAAGCAGGCTAAAAAAAAAAGCAGAACGATATGTACAAGATGACATCATTTGATTGAGACATAGCGAAGTCTCAGTCGACTAAATCACTAATTGGGGAGTACTTCCTGCAAAGATCACTTCAATTCCCCTGGTTGCGACAAGTGGCGCACATGCAGCGCTCCATTTGTCGCAACCTGGGAGTTTTCCCTTTTTCGTAAATCTGTTTATTCAAAACGTTTTATCTCTCAAACCGTGCGTTCAAATCTTAAACCGCTTTCACCGTCGGATTCCTCGCGTCGAGATCTTCAAAACTAGATCCTATGTTGATAGGTTTTGACGATCTTTTTTTTCACGTGGACACAACATCCGAAGGAACCGCCCAGAACGCAACACGTGGCGAATAGCTGAGAGCGCCAAATGGCGCTGATCGTTGCGAGGCTTTCGAATGAGTGCTCGTTAACTAGTTGCTCCCGCCTTAATATTACATGAGGACACAACAAGATGTGAAAGAAAAATACAACAATATTCCATCCACACCAACAAATGCTACAATTTGCTGTTTCCGGCCTTCGTGAGGCTTCCCATCGCTCCGGCCTTCTCCCGAAGAACAAACTTCTGTGTCTTCCCGGTGGAAGCTTTGGGCAAATCCTCAAACACCACTGTCTTGGGCACCATGTAGTGTGGCAGCTTCTCCCGACAGAAGCCTATGATCTCTGCTTCTGTGGCACTTGCGTCATCCTTCAGCTTGACGAAGGCACATGGTGTCTCCCCCCAATGGTCGTCGGGCCTCGCCACGACCGCTGCCTCGAGCACCGCTGGGTGGCCAAAGATTATGGACTCCACCTCTATCGAGCTGATGTTCTCGCCGCCCGATATGATGATGTCCTTGGCCCTATCTTTGACTTGGATGTACCCTTCTGGGTGCCGGATGGCAAGGTCCCCTGTGCGCAACCACCCTCCCGCCATGGACTCTTTGGTCGCATCAACATCCTTGTAGTACCCACTCATGACCGTGTTGCCACGGAACATCACCTCGCCCACCGTCTTGCCGTCGTGCGGCACATTCTCCATGGTGGTCGGGTCCTTGACATCGGCATCCTCCATCGCTATGTGATGGAACCCCTGCCGCGCCTTGAGCCGTGCGCGCTCCTCCACCGGCAGCGCGTCCCACTCCGGCATCCACGTGCACACAGTGGCTGCACCGTGCGTCTCGGTGAGGCCGTATATATGATATACCACGAAGCCAAGCTCCTCCATTCTAGCCAGGACGCGGGGCGGCGGCGGCGCGCCGCCCGTCATAACACGCACCACCGTCTCGGCCGACGATGGCCTTCGATCCACCGCGGGCGAATTAACGATCATGTTGAGAACCGTAGGTGCACCACCCATGTGTGTCACTCCATGTCGTGCGATGTTGTCGAAGATGACCCTCGCCGTGAAGTGGCGGAGACAGATGTTGGTGCCACCCTGCATGGCGACAGCCCACGTCATGCTCCAGCCATTGCCGTGGAACATGGGCACCGTCCACAGGTACATCGGCATCGGAGTGATGTCGTAAGCGAGGGCCGTGGCGATGGTGTTGAGGTACACGCCCCGGTGGTTGTAGATCACGCCCTTGGGCCGCGACGTCGTGCCAGACGTGTAGTTGAGCGTGATGGCGTCCAGCTCGTTCGCCGGCCAGCGGATGTCGAAATGCGAAGGGGCACTCTTGATGAGAGCCTCATACTCATTTCCGCAGGCGTCAGGGTCGATGGAGTCGGTGTCGTCGGAGATGGTTACGAGGACCGGAATGCTGGCGGCGCTGGACCTGGAGTCGGCAAGACGCTGTAGCGCGTCTCTCCCGATGCCGAGAAGGCCTGACTCGACGAGGAACACCTTGGCATCGGAGTGCTTCAGGAGGGTGGACACCATGGCCGCATCGTGCCGCGTGTTGAGCGTGCAGAGGACAGCGCCGGCCATGGGCACGGCGAAGTGTAGCTCGTACATGGCCGGCACGTTCGGGCTGAGAACAGCCACCTGCAAATGGATGACACGATTAGCACGCGGCTCTCGTGGCTCGTCCGCTGTTCATAATAGATAGGGCCCATGGACTACACGATGGACGGGCTAGTATTGAGCCGACAAGGATATCAAAGGCCGCGATTTGCACGACTGTCGTTGCATGATTTCGCTACGATGTGAGCGATGCCGCTGTTGCTCACCAGTGCAAACAGCAGCGCTCTATCATGCAAACAAGCAATTCGTACTGAGAAATAATTAACCTTTCTTAGGCACGTAGTCTAACAACCTTGGCTGTTAAAAAAACCTTGAGGCCTCATTCGGTTTGAAGGATTTTTGTAGGAAAAACATAGAAACAAGGATTCCGGAGGAATTTTTTTTATATGTGCATTCGGTTTATAGGAAATGCGTACAGAAATTTTATAGAAATACTATTCATTTTATGTGTTTTTGGAGGAAACTACACATCCACTCAAAGCTCATTTTACATGTAGGACCGAGGCAAGTCAAATCCATAGGATGGCAAGTGTCATCCTATCAAATTCTTAGGCCTCCTTTGGTTTAAAGGAATTTCATAGGAATTCTAGAGGATAGGATTTTTATAGAATTTTTTCCTTTAGAGCCCTTTGGTTCATAGGAATGGATTCCTATTCCTACATAGGATTGGTTCCTATCCTCCACATTTCATAGGAAAATAAAAAAGAGCCTAGACTCAATGGAAAAATTCCTTTGGTGTCAACCAAATGACATCTTATTTCCTATTTCTATTCATAGGATTTGAGATACATGTCATCTCATTTCCTACAAGATTCCTATTCCTATGATAATTCTATCCTATGAACCAAAAGAGGCCTTATACTACTCTTAATTCCTACGTTTTGATTTCCTCCAAACCAAATGAGCCCTGAAGTTCTTATGTAGTCTAACAACCTTTCTCTCTGGCATCCACTGACAAAGCAAGCAAAGAGATGGAAGCAGCGGCAAGCAAGAGCGGAGGCACTCACCACATCGCCGCGCGCGACGCCGAACCGGGTGGCGAGCGCGGCGGCCACGCGGACGCACCGGTCCCGGGCCTCCCTCCACGTGGTTGGCCGCCTCCCCGCGTACACCACGGCGGGGCGGTCGCCGTAGACGGCCGCGGCGCGCTGGATGAAGCTGAGCGGCGTCAGCGGCGCGTAGTTGGCCGCGCACCGCACAGTGCCGCGCTCCATGTCCAGCACCTCCACCTCCTCCTCCTGATCCCTCCCTACCAGGCTGGAGAAGAAGGACAGAGACACGACGCCAGTGGGAGGAGATGCGAACGAACTGCATGGTGGGGATGATAAAGTAGACGCGCGCGCTCGGGCAAAATCTGGGGTTGGATTATAATAACTCGAGCTGGGCCTGGGAGTAGAATAATAGTGGCGTCCGATGCCGCTGATGGTGTGGTTAGGGGTGGAAAGTGGTAGCGGATAATTCGAAATATCCGATATTCGTATTTGAAAAAATGTCTATTCGTATCCGAACCAAAATAAAAATAGAAATTGTCCGTATCCGAATTTATTAAACAAATACAGAATAAAATATGGTAGGAGATTTTGACACAAATATGGATATGGAAGTGGATATATCCGTATCGGAATAAGATTATGGGAGGTATTTTTTAAAATTCTAGGCCCAATATTCCGATTATCCAGCATAAAAGCTAAATAAGTGGTCAAATTTTCCTCTTCATATGATTAAACTTATAAATTATTATGCATTATAATAGTATTTATTCATAAACCTATTTATCATTGACTTATTGTATGTCGCAAGTTGATTATTTTAGGTTACATAGCTATCGACTAATTTACTTAAGCAACATGTTGATATAATTCGTATCCGTTCCGAATCAAGAAAATATCTGATACGTATACGTATTCGAATAATATCCGAGCCGCATCTGTATCCGAGAACATTCGTATTCGGATTCGTATTCGTTTTGAAAATATAAAAATGAAAGTGGTAAGAGCACTGTCCAATCCGCATCCGATCCATTTTCACCCCTAGGTGCGGTGGTGGCGGAGTAATCGACGGAGCACATGGGTGACCCTGGCATGGCTTCCTGTGAGTGAGAGCCAGAGGGACATGATGATGTGGCCGGATCACGGGAGCACAGCCGTACTACATAAAAAGGAGCCGGTCCATTGGCGCCATCCCCTGATCGGTCGCACGCACCCGCATCGTTGGATTGGACGACGCGCAGCCGCAAGATCCTCCCTTTTCCTCACCATGTTTCTCTTCCTTAGGGTGCTCTCGCAAGCTGTCTCCGAGGCGGGCTCGCAGCACCGCCGCCCTTACCTCTGCTAGCACGTCGTCGCCGTCACAACTCACAACACACTCACGATAGGGCTAAATTTCGTGTTTTGACCCTTTTCTGGAAGTTATTCGAGATCTGGTCCCAGTTCATAAAAATTTCAGGATCAGACTTTTTTTCCTACCGTCATTGTCTCTCACGATAAGGTTTTAACTGTCTACCGCCAGAATCTCTGACAATAGGCTTTGACTACGCCGTAACGGACATCTAACGTGGAAAATACTCTACTGCCAGAGTCCTTGGCGGTAGCCCATTATATCCTATCGCCGGAGTGCTTGGCGGTAGGGCCCAATAAAATGTCAAAGCCCGTGGCAGCTAAAGTTGCGTTGCGCTGCTCCATAAAGTGTGCTGCTTTATAAAATACTAAAAAAATAAAATAGATGGCACATGTATGGGATGGGTGAATGAATGAGCTGCCTGCCTTGAACGATCTGTTCATGCATGAGATTGATGTATGGATGTGCTGCATGCATTGAGTGCTCTGTGCATGCATGGGAGCATGAGCACACAGCAGCGGCAAGTTTTAGGCGAGTAGATTTTTATATGCTCTCTCTTGTGGCATGACCAGTGACTTGACTACTAGGTTACTAGGCTACTGTAGATTATTCAGATTGACAGGCGTGTGGAATCTGGCTAGAGGACCATACCGTCAAATACGTTGGCGGTAGGGTTGCATTGCCTACCGCCAAGGACTACGACGGTAGGGTCTTGTTCGTATTAAACGGACGTGACGGTGCTGGTAAGTCCTACCATCAGAGATATTGGCGGTAGGTTATGCAACCCTATCGCCATAGTCCCTGACGGTAGCAAAGATCCCGAAATTTTTACGAACTGGAGTCAGATCTTGAAGAACTATTAGAAAATGGTCAAAATACGAAATTTTGCCTCATGATAGCAGCAAATCTGTCTGTCTCCCCGGTTGAAGATATTGCTGTTTATAGCTTTTTTTTCTGGATATTGGAGCTTTTTATGTTGCTGATTGTAGCTTTCCCCGTAGACGCACTATCTCCGGCCGAAGCTTCCACCATCTTCCTCGGTTGCACCTTTTTCGGTGCGGCCGCAGCTTCTGCCATCTTCCTGGTTGCAGCTTTTGTCGGTGCGGTCGCATCTTCCATCATCTCACATTACACACGCTCACATCCACTAATTCACCCGTCGAGAGCTACTAGTCTGCTACCTCCTTTTTTAGGCGCCACTGTCCACAGGCCAAAGCCAACAGGCCTATCTCCAGTAGAATGCATGTCACCGTAAGACATCAATGGCATGTCATATAAAATCCTACATGAAAGGTAATAATAAGGTGAGAGATTCCTTGCAAAAGAAAATTGAGGTGAGAGATGATGGGTTGTATGATCTGCAACTTACAGCAGCAACAAAGATGCCGAGATACTGTTTCCCCTGGCCCTACTAAGATGACTAGATTATTAGCTGTAAATTTATACAAGTTGCTACTTTACCAACAACTGTACCAACACACCATTGAAACAGGTCGTATGATGTATCGTTGGATGATGAATTAGTTGTTCTATCTTACAGTCTATCATGCATGCTATTGCATAGGCCCAGAGAGGTTATGAATTCAAAAACCGAATCAATAGCCACATACAATACTAACCGCCAAAATCGGTTTAGTTCGGCTTTAGTTTGTCGGACCGCTACCGATGACAATCTTCAACTTGACGAAAGTGCATGGCATCTTGTCCTAGTGGTCATTTGGCCTCGCCACGACCGCTACCTTGGGCATCATCGGGTGGGAGATGGCGCGGCCTATGGTACCCATGTCGACATCAAAGTGATTGTGTAGGTGTTAGAGTCGACTCCATCATGCAATGCATAGTCTACTCTAATCAAAATAGCTGTGTGTGTGTTTGTTGTTGAAGATAGATAGTTTGATCACACTGTTTCTAGGAAGTCATAGGAACATGTGTAGTGATTTATTTCTCAATCAGTTGAATTGCGTGTTAAAGACAATAGTTTTTTCGTCGGATGGTGAGTGTAGCGATCATAGGCGCACACAATGGATTGTTTGGTAGTGCGTAAACTTGTTCTTTACCTTTCCCCTTCTTTTAGTTATTCTATTTTGAAATGTGTATTACCATTATGAGATGGACAAACTTTAAGTTATAAAATGTGCAACTATCTAAAGGAGCATACCATTTC